GCCTTTCAGGCCTCTCTAAGCGGTTTACAGAGAGTCAGCATATTGCCCCCAACAACAATCCGGGTCCTCATTTTATCTGGCTGTTGGCTAGATAGGGCTGGTACATCTAAAACTCCAGAACATCTCAAGGGCACCCATTTGCCAGTGCCTGAAGGCATAAAAAAGTAGAAACAGCTTTCCAATTAAAAAAACCCATTAATCATATGGTTCATTTCCCCCTATAGTTGATAAATCAATACTCTATTTTTCTCACCGTCCTCCAAGGGTCCCATATTTTGCTCATTTTTAAACATGTTCACATTTATTCCATGATAACTGCTCCTCCTCTTGACTTGAGAAACATTTCACGTCTTTAATATGATACACTACTACTATCATGCTTGGATAAGACAGCTTCCAATTTTTTCCTTTAGTCTGATCAGAACAATATAGGACTCTTAAGAAAATAACTGATGGGTTTAACCTGAATTCACCATTCTGTTTCTTGAGCCTAAAATTACTCCAGAAGGCTGTGTTAAGGACCGTCACTGTATGGTTGTATGAGCCAATAATTGAGGACTGTAGGGCCACCTGAAGCTTAGTTAGGGGTTTCTGAACCAGTTTCCAGCATCCCTTGCTGTAAAGGTGATCCTCACTTGGGATTTGAACTGGTGTTTTGCCAATCTCTGTATGCTTTCTTGATGGCTTTTTAAAAAGTCTGTTATGTGACAAGATACACTTACAGAAATGGGGTTTTCTTACTGATTAAATAGGTATTATGCTAAGTTTGGTCTAATGCAACTATGTAAGCAACTATGGCAACTTTAGACTGTAGACTTCAATTCCCAGAATTCTGTGCTGGCTCGGGAATTCTGGGAGTTGAAATCCACAGGCTATGAAGGCACCGTAACTGCCCATCTCTGATCTAGTGAATAAGGCACCAGGTTAGAAAATATGAGACCATGCATTCAAGTCTCACCTTAGCTTCACCTCACCTCACAAGGTTGTTGTTGTGGGGGAAATAGGAGGAGAAAAGAGTACTGGATTTGTTCCCATGATTTAGGCCTTGAATTATTTGTAAAAATAATAAAGGTGGGGTATTAATCAAAATAAAATCCTAGACATGGGCAATCCTGACATTCCCCCCCTCCAAAGAGAAATAGTTTTAATTCATTTTCCTTACCCCACCCTTCCAAGATGTTCAATCCCCCTTCAATGTTTTTCTCTTCTTCTTTGAGCAGCATCTCAAAATAACCAACTGGGATTACAACTTTTTATACTCTGCAGAGATATTTGAGGCCCAAGGTCATCTCATTAAGAAATTAAGATATTAAAAACAGGACATTTGTTCTACTGCCTTGCGGTTTCCTTTAAAATGAAAGGAAATTCATGTTAGGCAGAGCTCAAAGGTGCCCAGAGGAAGTATCCCAAGGCGATATATTCCTACCCCTGAATTAGGCTAACCATAGTTTTTTTTTGTCATAGGTTTAACTCTTCCAATTGCATAAAGCTATCCATTTTTATAGGGCTAATAAAACAAGAAAAAAGTTACAATTTAGACATGCAATAAAGTAGGAAGGATTGTGATCAAGTATGCCAGTTAAGATGACTAGAGGGTTAACCCCCCCCCCCAATTCCTGCTTGCTAGAAGCCAACCTGAGTATGCAGAAACAAAGACCGTCTTCTCTGAATTTTTTTGTTGTTGCTATAACTAAATAAAGACCTAAAGATTAAATAAAGATAAAGAAGAAAGATGCTGAGATGGGGTGGGGGGGTGGTCTACAGAGACCCATAGCTGTCTCTTGCTCATCCTTTGATCTCCTTACCCATTTCTTGTTTTGTCCACTCTAAAATATAAGCTTTGAACCTGATGTTCACAAACAGAGATAAAAAAATACTCCACTCTTTGAGATTTATGGCTATTTGCACTAACCTCTCTCACCCCTGGGTTCCAACACACCAACCCAGATCTGCCTTCCCATTTTTTTTTAAAAAAAAACATAACTAATCTTCCGAGCAATCACTCTCTCAAACCATTCATCTTTTAGTCTTTTCCTTTCCTTAATCCCACCCTCTGTCTATCTTTCCAACACTACATCAATCCATTGGAATGCAGAAGCCATGTTTGTCAACTCTGATTTGAGTCAATTGCACAATTAAAAAAAAAAAAAGAATAATATTCTGAAGCCTGGGCTGATTCATTTATCTGTGGGTCTCTTCACCCATTCTCCAAAAGGGAAAAAAAAATGAGCTTCTTGGTCAGAGGCAAAATATCAACAGCAAAAAAAATTTGTATTAGCGTTTTATTTCTGTTCTGGTCAATTAAAGGATTACTTCAGGCAACGAGGAAATGTTCTTCAAACATGTGCAGAGTGCAGGTAGTCTTCAACTTGAACTGGAATGAACTCCCCGCAGGGATTCGGACCCTCACCTCTCTCCAGGCCTTCCGAAAAGCCATCAAAACCTGGCTTTGCCGGCAGGCCTGGGAGTGATAAGTTCCCTCCCCTCTCGACATGTATGGTTGTGCGACTGTTGTCTACTTTTATTATTTGTATTTTGTCTTTTTATGTTCCCCCTTTTTTTCCCCCTTGAATTGTTCGCCGCCCTGAGTCCTCCCGGAGAAGGGCGGCATACAAATAATACAATACAATACAATACAATACAATACAATACAATACAATACAATACAATACAATACAATACAATACAATACAATACAATACAATACAACTTACAACAGTTTGTTTAGTAAGCATTCAAAGTTCCAACAAAGTTTTCTACAGTTATAACCTTTGCATCCCCATGAACATGTGATCAAAATTCAGATTGGCAACTGATTTCTATTTATGATTGTTACTGTGTCCCAAGGTCATAAGATCTCCTATTGCAACCTTCTGGCAAGCAAAGTCAATGGGGAAGCCAGATTCACTTAACATCTGGCATACTAACTTAACCGCAGTAATTCACTTAACAACTGATGCAAGAAAGGTCATAAAATGGGGCAAAACTCACTTAGCAAATGTCTCACTTAACAACCTAAATTGTGGCTTAAATTAAGTCACTGTGTACACTGTGTTATATGCAGTTGCCATGAACCCTCTATCCGTATATGTTTGGTTTCTTAGTCCACCTTTCTGCTAAAAGTAACAATTCAAGCCAGCTAATGATGAGATTATAAAAAAGCTATAATAGAAACCTGGATTGAAGCAACCTGTTAAACAACTCTGAAAAAATGGCTGGCATGTTAGAAGGAAATGCTCTGCTTTTCTTGCTGGTGTAGATTTTTTATTTATGAAGAGTTTCACATTGAAGGTTAATGACTGATGACCATTTCTCTTTTTTTCCCCCATCTCTGATTGCTCACCACAATTGTGTTCCTTAAAATGCATGAGATGCTTAAAAAGCATGAATTATGTTTCATGCTGATCAACAGAATGTGTCTCTGCTCGGCAAAACAGGATTTAAACCAGGATATGTTTTAAATGCTGATCTATACAACATGCCATGTATTGTTTATTAATGTGTTTATTGCATTTTATTGGAATGGTGATTTAAACATTTCTTTGTCTCCGTGATTTATGTGCAAATTTGCACACATGTACATTCATACAAGCATTTTGCTTTTTTTTAAAAAAAACCTGACGAAGCTTCTGTTACTTTAAGTGTTTTAAACACCTCAAAATATATTCTTACATTAAGAAATATTTTAAATATAAAGTATCTATACAAGGGGGGTTGTCAAATTTGCTGCCACCGCCACCAGACCAAAGAACTAAAGTTATCTGGGAAAGGTGCAGAGGTAGAACAATGCAAATTTTTGTGCTGCCATATCTTCAGAACCAATGTTAAGGACTAGAAAGTTAAGGAGAGGGACACAAAGTGGAGATGTGTTGTGTCTTTGTAATTTGTAATTTTATAAGTTGTAGAAGACTAGGGAACTTGGCTCTGTCTGTAAAGGTATTATGTCCCCTCAGCCAGCCAATTCTGTGTTAGTGGTTCTACACTATTGATCTCCTTCAAGGATATACTTGTACAGGTAATCATTGACATGAAGCCATTTATTTAACAACCATTCAAAGTTATAACATCATTTTAAAAAATTGACTTAGAACTGTTCCTCCCTCACAACAGCCATCACATGATCCCCAGGGTCAAAATTTGGGTGATTGACAACAGGCCTGTATTTACGATAGGTGCAGCATCCCGATGTCACATGATCCACCATTTGCAACTTTTCCAGTTGGCTTCCAACAAGTGAGGGAATCCAGATTCGCTTAACGACCACACGATTCACTTAACAACTTGCAACAATTTGTTTAACGACCATGGCAAAGAGGTTGAGTATAAAACTGAATGTGAATCACTTCACAACAGCTTTATTTAGAAAGGAAATTCTATTCCCAATTGTGGTCGTAAGTCGAGGACTGCCCGTACCTCAAAATAAGGCAGTTCTAACACGGTTTCCATGTGTCTGCTTTTTTTCTTCACGTACAACTTCCAAGTTTCTTTGGAAAAAGTGAAGGTGAAGGTGAAGGTGAGGCTAGTTCAGCCATCCTTGCCTAACTAGTCTCTCTCTGTGTGTGGTATGTGTGTCATACACCCCAGAACGTGTCACTTCACTTTTCAAAGCCTAACATTTAGAGACGCTCCTTTCACATCCCTGCATTATCTATCATTTGGTTCTTAGCCGGGTTTCTGAATATGCCAACCAAACTCCGGAATTCAGGAATGTGCTGAACTTTATACAAAATTAGAGGCTGTTTATTTTCCCCCTAATGTGTGGGTATGCGTTTAAATTTCCTGCCCGGGGATAATATTTGTTTTGGCTTTTGTTTCCCAGTTTCTCTCTTACAATATCCTCTGTGGCGCAGTTTGGATTTTATTGGTGTTTCTGACATTTGCGATATTTTCTCTCTTGTTCAGGTACAAATAAATAACTTTCTGGGGGCGCCACCTAAGAAGGGGTGGAGTGAAAGCTGGTGAAGAAGGAGGAAAAAGAAAAAGAGAGCCGGAGAAGTGGACAAATGAAAGGGGAAAAAAAGAAATTTTCTGGGGATTTCTGAGAAACTCGAAGCAAACTTCCCGGACATTGCTGGACAAAAGTGGAACAGGATCCAACTCTGAATGCTGGGAGGATATTGAGTGGGTTGGTTTTTTTTTTTTTGTGGGTTGCTTTGGCACTGCCCCTTGGCGGAGGCAGCGGATTGGGGCGACTACAAAAGCAGGAAGAGAGTCGGGACGTTCCTGTGAGTCACTTGAGGTGTGGGAAAAAGGCAGTTGCCGCGCTCTTTTTAGCAAAGGTGAGTTTGCTAACTTAAAAGCCTTTTTCTCCCCCCCTTATCTTTCGGCGCCTGGGGAACTCTGGCTGGGCAGTTGGAAAAAGACATGTGTTGAACCATCTGACATCTCTCCTGGCTGCAGGGAATTAAGGTTGCGGTGGGGCTGGGATGGGGGGAGGAGGGGGGGCGACTCTGACTGTAGCTTGGGCTGTAGTAAAATAAGCCAGCTAGGAACTGGAACTCATTAGTCCCCTATTATAGAGTATGATTTAATATGACTAACTGATGATCTGGAAACGAAGGTGAGGCAGAGGATTGTAGTTTCAGAATGTGACCCGGGAATCCGGAGAGTTGAAAAAGAAAGCAATTTCACCTGGAGAACAGCTAACCTAACCAGGTGGCCAGCGCAGGCATTGGAAAGCAGGATAGCCCTCTTCTCTAAAGGAGGGGAGTGCAGGGGATGAACTGACCTTTAATCTCGCACAAGGATCAAAAGGAAACTTGGGGGTGTGGTAGCACAAAGTCTTGTCTGTCTGTCTGTCTGTGTATGTGTGTGCTGGAAGGGAAGGAATAAGTGAGTAGTCATAAATCAAACCGCTGCCAGGTTGAAAGCAAGACAGAGAGGGGGCTGCGGCTAAGCCACATTGACACCACGACCACCCCCAGCCACATATCTCTGCCTTGGTTTCTTGAGATATTCCTCCTGGCATCTCAAAACTTTCAACACAACCACCACTCTGCCCCCTTCCCCCCCGCCCCACCCCCACTGTTTTGAGGTTCTCTCTTCAATGACCTAATTCTTGGAGGACCCCTGATATAAAATGCCCTTTTGTTCCTTGTAGATCCTTTCTTCTGTGGTTCCCTAGATTTTTCTCCTGGCCCACCAACTCTCCCCTTGAAATCCCAATTTGGGTTTTTTTAGCCCAATATCCCGTCTTTCTGTAAGGACCCCAGAATATATTCTCCTAACTCATTCTCCGCTTCTTGCTTGCTGGATTTAGCTCCTTTTCTAGATAAATCCAGAATATGGGCCCCTTCCCCACATGGATGTAGTTTCTCTGCTCCATCAGAGTTAGACAATCCCACCAGATCTCACCCCCTGCCCAGCGCCTAACTGTTTCCTTAATCCCAGCTGTGCACAAGCATTTCCAAAGGATTTGTGTTAATTTTTTGAAGGAAATTCCGTCATTGTCCTCTGGGGCTAGTAACCATATCTGTCATCCGCAGACAGAGAGGGGAAGGATGGAAGGGAAAGGAATAGATATATTTTCCCAAGAGACTTTTTAGAATAAGCCCGCTTGGGATCATGCCAAGATCGTGTCAGATCCAGTGGTTCTGATTCTCAGCTGCTCCACGCCTCACATTTTTGCATGCCCTCTTGATGTGTTTTTGTGGTAGACAGCCAACGTGCCATCCCTGAAGGCTGGGATTCTGCTGAAAAACTTTTTTTTAAAAAAACACCACCAAATGAAAGTAGATTGTCCACAAGTTACACAAATCCTCTCTTTGGGCAGCCCTCAAGTGGTCATAGGGAGCTTCAAGCAAAAAAGCTTGAAGGAAAAATAGACTTATTTGATAAAAGTTTTTTTAATCCAATGAATACCTTAGGCCAGAGTTTCTCAACCTTAACAGCTTGAAAATGTGTGGACTTTCGACTCCCAGAATTCCCCAGCCAGCCAGATTGCCCTAAATTAGAAACACTGGTTTAAGGGCAGTTCATTCTTAAAGGTAATTTGTTTATCCGGTGATATGTGAATGTCATGCTTCCCACAAATACATGCATATGGCTTTCTCAAGCTAGTTCCTTCACCCTATCCCTACTGCTTTGTCTCGATGCTAGAGCATTTCCCAGAAAAATCAGTTAATTTATTTTCATTTTTAAAAAGGAAGAAGCCTTCCTTACCCCTTGGGATATTTTGATTTAAACTTCATCTTAGGAGAGGAACACATTTCTGCCTCTGCCTCTTTTCCCCTCTTTGCTCCTTCCATTCACAAGGTTTAAGCTCATCCTAAGTGGGCAGTTATGTCACTTTATGGCCAATTATCCCTTAAACTGATAATCAAGGACTCTTGGATTAAAAGGATTGCATTTGAGAGCCCACTTCCAAATTGGAATCATCATAGAATAAGTTGTCCCTGTACCATACATTTCAGCAGAAACCAAGCAAGCTTTGATCTCTTTCTTGGCTTGCATAGGAAACTATTTGACAGGCGAGTCCTCCACTTACAACCAGAATTGGGACCAGACATTTGGTTGCTAAGCAAAGTGTCAAATCAAGTAAGTTTATTACAGTCAAAGACCAGAACATGTTAAGAACACTCCAGGAGTACCCAGTTAAAAATTCGAGAATAAAATAATAAATAACAGATAAAAATCTACATTATAATCACAATTTGGCATTCAATCACAGCAAAACACAGCATGGCCTAACTATTATGATATCAATTCTTAAATGTGAGGCCCTTAATAATTGAATATTAAAATGCAAAAGAGTAGTAATGCAAAAGGGTTTGCTGCATTAATTGTGTAAAATAGGTATATGTTTCCGACGAATTCCCAGAGCTGTTGCACGGAATCTAGCTTCCTGCGCTGCAGTCACAATTTGTTCATCCTTAAGCAGCCACTGGAGGTAAGTAGTACCGAAATGGCCAGGATACCTATCGATTATGATGTATCTCTATAAAAAGAGATATCCCCCCTGAATCTAGCTAGCTAGCTAGCTAGCTAGCTAACTCTGGAACACCTCGAGCAATTTCAACCAAACTTGGTACACAGATGACTTATTCCCTGGAAACAAATACTGTGGCGGGTAAGACACCCCTAACACCCCTAGGGGTTTATGTTCTGTTAAGATGCAGCCTGTTTGCCTTTAAATGGATTCTACTGCACTGCTGTAAAATGGCTTCTACTGTACAGCGCCGTGGAGTTGCCACGGTAACATCTTCACAGTATTCCATAAGGAGTTTCCCTCTGGTAAGGGAGAAAAACATTGGAAATTACGTTTGGTCCGGACATTTCTCCCCTATAAATAAATACCCGGGCAACGCCAGGTTATCGGCTAGTATCTCTATAAAAAGATCATCGAAGGAGAATGTGTTCAATGGTCTCCACCTTTCCTGAGCCACGAGAATAGAGTCTTTCAGTCAATGGTATATTTTTTACATTTGCTGCGCAGAACCGCCGATGGAAGCACAAGGCAGGCACTGTGCAAGCAAAAATGCTTTCCCGCGGTTCACAGTCTCCCAATTGGTGGTTGTTCAATGAGGCACACTGATTTTATGACCTTTTTTGCTATGGTTGTTAAATGAATTATTATAGTTGTTAAGCGAATCATGTCACTAAGTGAATCCAGCTTCCTCGATTTCCCCCTTCCCCTCGTTGATTTTGCTTATCGGAAGTCAGCTGGGAAGGTTAAAAGTGACAATCACATGATCCCAGGATTCTCCAACCATTGTAAATACCTGCCGGGTTGCCAAGCACCCAGATTTTGATCACATGACTCTGGGGATGCTGCAACAGTCATACGTAGGACTGATCATCAATCACTTTTTCCAGTGCCATTGGAATTTCAAACAGTTGCTAAGCACATCGTTGCAAGTCGAGGACTACCTGCAATGCTCGATTATTCCATTGTGGAAGAAGTCCAATAGCAATAGCAATAGCAGTTAGACTTATATACCGCTTCATAGGGCTTTCAGCCCTCTCTAAGC